TCTTCCAGTTCAACGGTCGACTAGAGCGACATTTCCCGAAAACATCGCTTTATAGGCCGTTTACCATGCGATTTCAATTTGTAACTGAAATGGGGTTTGAGGTGATTTCTTCCGAAAATGTGTTCCGATTAACGGGCTCTGTAAGCGTCAACACTGCCGAAACATCTGCCTCATTAAAAATTGGGGTATGTGACAAGATAAGCGTAATATGGCACGCTAGTGGGTGTACCGGTGACGCCGCACCCAAAGGACGAGTTGGACTGCCTGGCCCTTCGAATGTAAGTGTCAGAGGATGGGAAAATTCAATATCACCCGCATTGGACTCTTGCCTTTGTATAAATTCATAGGAGTTTCGCTGCTCCAATCAACAAAATGATGCACATCGAGAACTCGCAGCGCGTGACAGCACGATATGCCACGCGGCGACGAGGCAAGCGGTGAGTGTCTTGTCCGTCTCCCCGATATTTGTAACATCTCGAATTCTTCAAGCAACTCCAAGATTACTGTCACCGTGCTTATATCAATGGAAAGTCGATAATAAGCTCTCAAAATACTTCTGCGATTGCAGCTCTTGGGTGGCGAAATCCGGACATGAATTTTTTGACGCTAGCTAGCTTGCCAATGAAGAGAAAGCAGTGATTGGGAACCGATGGAAACCCTTTACAAGGGACCCAGCAATGGACAACATACGAAGAACGAAACATCGCCCGTGTGTACGAGAAAGCATAGACAAATATGAGGTCACAGGAACATGGGCGAGGAAATAGCCACCTCAACGGTCCCACAGGTGAATGAACGCATCCGCCTGACCATGAGTGGCCTTATTTCGGGTAACGATATCCGCGGCGCCCTCACCATTCACACTCACTGCGGGCTGTTCTACCTGGGCAGGAAAAGGATTTTACTCATCAGAGAATCGCAGAACAGGCTATTAAGAATAAAACCTACTTCATTATCCATGCTGCGCAAGACGCCATCCTTCAGCACATTTTGGAACTGTTCATCATCTCCGCCCTCCCAACCACCAATCAATTGGCGACATGCTCTTGCGTCATCTGTGAACTCGAATTCAGCGCACTGTCTTGAAATATCAATGTTAACGAGACAGTCCTACTACTAACAATTCAAACATTTAGTATGACCCACTCTACTGTCCACTGGTAATACTTCGCAGCTGCTACCGAATCACCCATTGCTAGTTGCACAAGGACCAGCGCAACTGCAAGTTGACCCACGCGTCCAGCTTCCTGAAAAAGCTCGCTATTAAGTATTACCCTCCGAAAGCGACTTTATTAAGACACCCAGCAGGTGACATAATGTAAAGTACGGTTTTTCATGATAGAACTTACTCTAACTTCGACGTACTTTTCTATTTCATCGCGAATAGCCTTCGTCGCTTCGCTGTAACGTTCCAGTCGAAGATTCAGGCGTGCTATCTGACTCAGAAATTCCCCTGCTAGTTTCGAACGATCAGATTGCTGTACCAGTGCTAGTCCTTTCTCATATAACTGGAATAAGACAGGAAGATAGAGAAACAACTCACAAAGATAAGTTAATCACGACTTAGAATCAGGCTCAACTTATCTTTTCGATAGTGAGTTGGGTCAAAGAAAAATAAACTCGTACTTTGATAGCCTTCTCAGGCTCCTGAAGGACTACGACCTTTGCGGCTTTCTCAACCGACATAGCAGCAGTATCCAGGCTTCCCGATTCGGCATATTGATCAATCGCCTTTTCGAATAGTGGGAAGGCTCCTGCACTATCACCAGCATCTCTCAGCAACATAGCTGCACCTTCGCGAGCTCTTAAAGAAAAGCGTTCAGGTCGCGGCCTAATCCGCTATTCAGATTCATTTTCAAGCGAAAGCAATCAATTCAGAGTTTCTGTGATTTTTAAAAATGCTCGGATAGTATAATGTGCCACAAAGGGCTGTTTACCATTCAACTAATTTCGCCTCCTAGCGAATCTTCCGCTCACCCAATCGTGAATTCCCAAAACGAGAACGCGCTGGACCGATACTTATTCATCCCTTTTTGAAAGAACTCGCTCACTCGCTCGCTTATTCCCCCGAGTCTGACATCTTTTACATTCGCCGATTAGGAATTGAATTCACCGAAATATCGCTGAGGTCAAGGTCACTCACTTGGCGGCATGAAAAAGGTTTCCTAATTGTTCGTAATGTCCAGCAGCGGCTATCAATGCCTTGGCTGCCTTTTTCGCATCTCCAGCATTACGATAACATACTGATGCACGTTCCAAAGCAGTTGCGGCTCCATCGTAATCTGGTTTCAATTTCAGCTTCAACACTGATGTCTTCAGGCTGGAAAGAGCTTTATCTAATACAACATCTGAAGCTGAAACGAATCCGTTTCTGACAAAGCAAAAATGGAAAGCCAACCAACCCACCACTCAGCAGCTTTCCGCTCGCATTCTGCAGCTTCGCTCAATCGGGCTGAATTGGACATTGGCCCTCACAGATGAAATCAAAACCTGTAAGCATCACCAATCTAACTTTGTTCTGAGTCATGATTCGGCACATAGGCGACCGACTGCAATTGAAATTATGTGTCGATACTATCGGAGAAGCCTCGCAAAATCATCAACATGCAAGAATTTCGATGTTAACAAGCTAAAGATCGAATGCTTGATATAGAACTCAAAAATCAGCTTTACCATCCCTACCAATGACAGGCCAAGGCTGCATGCTGGTAACAGTGCTGCCATCGTTCACGCACATGCACTCCTTCCCCCACACGTTTTGAACCCTTGCCTGCCATCAGTAGGTTCTGGGTACGGGCTGAGCAGCACCTTTTTCAACAACTACTGCCAGACAGAAGTTTCACAGTCCTTATGGGAAAAGAAATTGCTATGGAGATGAAATTGCGATGTGACACAAAAGAAGTCACTAAGCAACACTAAATGGATACCTGAATTCAATTCATGACCGGATACTAATGCAGTGCCAAAGCTTCACAAGAATTTCCTTTGGAGGAACGAAGACACTACAGTGATATGAATATGATCATTGTTCACACAGGGATACCTTAGCACCATGCCGAGTAAGATGTTAGCTTTGCTACGCCAAATAAACTCCTATTAGGTACCCCTACCCATGGCTGAAAAATTCAGATCTTGACCTTAAGATACCAAGAAGCGGGTGCAATTCGTTAATGAGGATGGCTTTCAGAGGTTACAAACTAGAATATCGATTCTTACAATTTGGTAATCATTCACTCAGAACTTTTGAAGGAAATAGTATGAAGAACCAGAAATAAAACCTGGACCAAAAATCTAAAAAGTAAGGTTCATCAATGTCGGACAACCAGGAGAACATAAGGAAGATAACTCAGCTAATTTGAAAATAGCTCCAACAGAACCCGAAATATTAAAAACAAGTGAGTAGAATTTTGCGAAATTATAAGTGACGAAGAAGGGCATGGCAGCAAAACAGGATCTACACTAGCGAAAAAAGCCCGGAACGAGCCAAAGTCATGTGCTTTCTAATATTCTCGTCATACTTTATCACAAGAAAAGTCATTCGCCCAAATCAAAAGAAAAACAAAATGAGCTCGAAAAGGCAATTTCAAGGAGAGTAGAGCTGGTTGGATGAAGTCGCTGGCGAAAAAGAACGGTGACGAATGCTGCGATAAGGCACGCTGTCGCCACGATGATATGATATACGATCCACTTTTTAAATTTTGTAAAGCTCTGGCAAAAGCATAGGACTGTGTAGCCTTAGCTACTGGTTTTGTGCGCAACTGCATCTGAAGGCATACAGGCGAACTAGAGAAAACATCGATGGGAACAGCTATGAATGAATCACCAATTTAAATATCTGAAATTGCAAACTTTATGAACTTTGTTACCATCGGTGGAGGCCCGGCCACAATCAACCCGCAAGAGTTATCTCTTGCTGGGCGAAGAAGTATGTCTAATAAAGCTACTCTGATCCCTCAGTATCGTTTCACTCAATTAAATTCAAAAATCGCTGCACTTCAATGGAGCTAATTGGCCAAAATTTTTGAATGTTCAATTCGTGTCGAAAGTATGAAAAAATAACACATAAACTTAGGTTTACCGGAACCGTCAGAATGAGAAACTCAAGGCACGATTTATAAATCCATCATAGATCCCTTACTCATAATAGAAGCAGGTACTAATGACCTCGGCGAGAGCAGAAAGCCCAATATGACCGGATGAACTACTAGGGGGATTTGCTACTTCCCCCGTGAATACGCCCTCGTAACCCTTTTGTATACCTGTACATTTCGTCAACTGTAATGCTCAATTTCCTGCAGCATTTTAGGTTTTGCTTTTGCATCCTGCAAAGGGTGACATCATGAGAAACAATTCAACAACGAAATCTGTAAAGGTGTACAACCAGAGATTGATCTCTTTACATGGTACGTATCGAATCCGCAAGTAAAAACGAGAAATAGTACCATTTTAGTCATTCTTGAGTCCGGAAGACATTTGAGGCTACGTTCATAGCTTGTAGCAGTGAAGAACCGAAAAGCTGTAGAAGACGAAAAGAATCAGATCCGTATCGATCTATTTCCGCATTACTTCATTCTCTGCATTTCATCAAATCGATACGTATCTGAACGTTTTTGTCATTTCTCTGATCCTGCACTTCTTCAACTCGTCGATTCTTCACTGTCACAAGATATAAACGCGGTCTCAGCCGGAACGTTCCATCATTTTACCTTTACTTTGATCCCACAACGGGGAATCTTTCGCTCGACTACCACACACGATGCGAAATTCTCACCGTTTGCAGCAGTCCCCGATCCACTCCTCAGCGCATCCACGAGAAGCCGACTGACGGCAGGACGCTAAGTAGACAGTCATTATTTACACTTGGATTTGCATTTGATGACATGGTTATCGCAAGCTATCAGGAGCTGTGATGATGATTGTTTCATGGGATGGGAAGAGCAAGTTGTGTGAAGCGACAGCCATCAACTGGTTTGAATGAGGAGCAAACGAATCAAAGATCATTTCCAGGAGCATTGGAGCACTGAGCGTTGTATAGATATGGAGCACAGAGGACGTACGCTCACAATTCATAGTGGTTCTGCAGATACACAACATCTATTGGATGCCTGGATGGATGCCGTGGAAACAAACTGAATTTGGATGTAAGCTGGATTCATGTGAGCCGCAAAAATGTCATGTTTCATGAGTCGGGAAGCACCGTAGGATCAATTATAATGGTGATGAGATTCATGATGAGCAAATAAATCAACACTTAAAGATTTATTAGGAAAAGGAGGAAATGATGAGACCACAATGAACTTAACAATAAATAAACAGCCATGAACGATGAACGATATTACAGATACTATCAGTTAATGATTTGATCATGGTTAAAAAAATATGATGCGGGAAGAAACCAAAAATTCCCCGATGGTCACGCCGCAATAGCATACTGACAACATAATTACATAAAACAGACGCGGATACTGGTGATAGAAAAGAAAAAATCTTGTAAACTGGTGTTCAGCCAAAAGACCTTCTACATACACATTCCTCTACTGCCAACGGATCTGAACTCCCTGGCCCTGGAAGCGACCTACCTGGTCACCACCAGCATATGCACCCTGATCACCAAATCCAGCAACGCCATGATTACTAGGCATCTGTTGGGTGGTTTCTTGTGCAGATCTCATTTGTGCCATTGCCGCTACTCCCAAACCAAGGCCAAGTCCCATAATGTTGTATTTAGCAAGTACCTAAAACGTGTCAACGATAAAACAGCTAAAATCTTGTAATACGGCGCAGTTCGGTCTGGGGGGGGGGCACCAAACGGTACATTACTGAGCTACTTTAAAACACCACGTAATGACCTGCAAATTCTTATCACCAAAGTGGTCCACTTGTGCCGTTCCAAAACTTCGCAAGAGTGTACAGGTTTCACCAAATTTCATGAAAGTGAAACCTGTCCGCTAACATGAACCAATAAAACTAGCAAAAAGGCAAGACGCCCCTTCCAAGCCGAACAGCGCCCCGTAATACTCTACCTGCATGGCCTGCATTACTTCAGCAACACTGGCCTCATTGAAGCCTGATGAGCGCAGAGTCGACTGAAGGTTGTCAAGAAACGAGAGCAACTGAAAAGTATTTACTTTCGCTGCTCACACAAAAAAAAAACACCACAAACCAAAATGAGGGCTCGAAAGCCAGTTAAATTTGATTCCCTTGTCAGCAGAAACTTCCCCAGCTATAAAAAATACCTCTTGATTTCCAAGGCCACTCATAGGATTGAACTTCATCGTAGGTTGCTGCTGATTTGCCTGATATCCATAAGTCTGAGCCGCAAATGCAGGTGGAGCCGCGTTAAAGGCTGCAGCTGTATTACCATTAGTGAAAGCGGGGGTGGACGTGAACGATGTATTCCCAGTCTGAAACCACAACATTCAAAAAATAAAGACTGTTGA